TTATTGCTTCTGCTATGGAGCCTAATTCTGGGCTTCAATTATATTTTCCCATCACTTTTTAAATCTTTATTTGGTTGGTCCTATAATAAGAAATACCTTTTGGAAAGCTAGTCGATATTTTTAAAGTCCAAAAGGAAAGAAAATGAAAAACTTTAATGAATGACAGGGGGAAAAGTACATGAAACTATTTAAAACAGCTTCCACCAACAAATATAATTCTCCAGAAATAATTCCTATCCTTGGAGACTTGAATAATATTTTAAACACATTGGCTTTCCCATGTAAACACATCCATATTTGGATGTGTTTCTGAGTTCTGCTATACTTGCAAGGCAACTTTGCAGAAGCAGGCACACAGTTCAGACATTCAAGCTGGAGGTCGGCCCACCTTCCACGGTTGAGAGATATTGGGGCCCAACGGTTTCTAACTGCTGATGTGAAAAGGAGTGACCCAGGAATTCTGCTCCAGGATTTCTTTCTTTCTGCTTTTTGTATTTCTCTGTCTACTAGGATCAACACTGACATTCTTCTGCTTTTCTTATTCATCCTCACTCACACCTTCTGACATTTCTTACCTCTTCCCTCAGAGGCTACATCACTCTTGGCATAAATACTTCACTCAATTAATCACTTTCTTTAGTTTTTTTTTTTTTTTTTTCTCTCTGCATGCAGGCCTCAAGATCTTGTTACCTTGTTCTCTCTAGGCCTTTGGCCCTTTCTAGAGAAGCGGAAACTTTAAACAGAGGGTGACACGAATGAAGGAATGGCAGAAGCAGAAATGCAGCTCTTTTTGGAGGGTTCCAGGTTAAAGCCTATCAGTCTGGTTCCCTCCTAATCCGGGGAGACTAAGCACTTGCTGCACCTTTTTTAGGCTTATACATGCCTATAGTCTACCTATAACCCTACCTATATGGAAGCTAAACTACTCCATCTTCCTGTATATCCTACCTCTCTAAGTAGTAAGCAGTGGACCCATATCCAATTCCAACATAACTGCCAGCTCTACTCTCATATCCCCATGTGTGGAAACAGCTAGATGGTCCTAACCAATTCTATAAGAGCTCATACTTGACAAACTGTTCGGGTAAATGTAGCATCTCTGAATTTCACCAAGGGAACAAATGCAGTATTATTACAACAATATAGGGATTATTAAATCCCATCCCTACTATATGCAAGGAAATAAGACCTGGAGTATTCTCCTCAGAAGGAAAAGAGACTATTTAGGGTTTAAACTACCTAAAAAGTAAAGAAAACTAGAAAAGCTAGCATTATCTTGGCCAAAGATTTATTTATTCCCATTTCAAGACCAAACACACAGCCCTATTTATGGACAAGAGTCAATGTGCATAAGGAATGGATAGTTCAGGACCATTGTTCCTACTGGATTATAAACCCCAGAAAGGCAGGCTTGGTCTTTGTCTTAGTGAACCAGACTTGGTTCACGTGCAGGTTAGATCCAGCAACTAGAGTGTGCTCTGTACACATAAGCCACTGAGTAATTTCTCCACACTCTCCGTCCTGAGGACTCCTCTGTGCCAGGCACTGTGCGGAAGGTAAGACCATAAGACGCTGACTGTAAGAAACCTCCTGGGAGCAGAAGGAGAGAAGCACATCCACGAGAAAGGCAGTCAAGTGACACAGGTGCCGAGATGGCCATCTATAGGTAGGAGCTTTGGGATGTTAGAAGGACGTGGGGAGTTCTGGGCTGGAAAAGGGAGGAAGGTCAAGGATGGCTCCACAGACGTGGGGACAAAGCTGAGGGCCCTGGTCAGGTGAGCCAGGAGTAAGTTAAGAGAGGAAGCGATGGGAAGAGGATGGGACATTAATAGAAACCGAAATAGTTCACCCACTTGGGGGGAGGGGCTGGTGAGTGAGGAGAGAAGGGAGAGAGGTGGGCAAGGGCCAGATCCTGGAGTTTGCATCATTCCAAACTGAGAGATTTGGACCCTCTCTGGGAGGTGAGGGGGTGGCACTGAGATTTTAAGCAGGAGAGGAATATGATCAGATGTGGGTTCATTCTGGAAGCAGACAGCATAAATCTTTTTCCCACTCCTGGTCCCCCCAGCCTCTCTCCACCCCTTTACTCACTCTGGCCCCAGGGAGGTGGAATGATGACCTGCAGCAAAGAGGGGAACAAGTGAGCGGGGGTGCCGGCTTCACTCTGGCTCACACTCCTCCTGGCCAGGGGCGCACCTTCCCTCGGAGAGCAGCCTCCCTGCTGGCCCTGCCCTGCAGTCTGACCTCGGTGCTCCTGCGGGGGGCAGGGTCAGGGGGCGCCCTGGGCCAGTGCTGCCGGCCACTGGGGGAGTCAGTCTCCCTCTGGGGTTCAGTCTTAACAGCCACAGACCCACAGAGCAAAGTCACTTCCTCTTGTCAGGAAGAAAGGTGGTATTTACCTCCACCCATCACTTCTACTTTTATTTCTCAGTTTGTCCAGATTCTGGATGGGATAAAAGGACTTTCAGAGAACCCAACATAAAACTGGATTGGGAGGACATAAGACTGGAAATAAGGAGACCAGTTAGCAAGCTGTTATGAGTCCCTATAAAAATGATGAGGGCCTGAAAATGGAAGAGTGTGGAGTAGAGAAAGCTGGAGGGTCAAGAGAGGCAAAGAAGAGAGAATTTGCAGAGGAAGAGGCAGGAGAGAAGCTCCATTCTTATTTCATCATGAGCACACACACATCTCCCCTGCCAGGAGTTTTTCCCTGAGGACCACGAATCAGGGAAATGCACTTGCGGTTTAAGCTTTTCTCTCTCCCGGTTCCCATAGGACAGAATGAGAAGGCACAGATGCTGTTAGCATCGGGCCTGCATGTCTTACCCATGTATGAGGCAGGCCAGGCCGACTGGCCCCCTCCTCCATAGGGGTCCTGGGGCTTGGTGCTCAGAGCACTCGTGTGAAGAGCAGAGTCAGAATTGGTCCTAATGGGGGGAGGAGAGAGTCTGGCTGAAAATCCATTTTTCCTTAGTGAAAATGCAATGTTCTTTGCTGAAAATTACCAACAGGAAAGAAGGCAAGAATAACAGATTTGCAATCATCCATAAAATGAGGGGTCTGGACCTACCTGAAGTCCCTTAGATCAGTAACAGCCTCTGAGGATGGCCCACACCCAAAAGACTGTAATTTGTACTTGTATGATCTTTTCCTTTGAAGCTAATGGCATAATGATCTGGTTCAACAAGGCAGACCCTGGATTCACGGCTTCCTCTAAGAAACTTCCCAGTTTTCCTCGCAACTCAGAAGATCGCTGTGATCAGTATATTCTCTGTGGCTGCACTAGCTTTTCCCCATCTGAGAATAACTCCTCCTGTACGAAGGATCACCGGTAGCAGTGACTCTCAAACCCTTCCAGGGAGAATGCAAGGTCAAGATAACTTTCAAAATAACCCTAATGTGTCCTTTGCCCTTTCACTCTCGCTCTCTCATGAGCACAGTTTTCCAGCAGCCTTGTGACCTGTGATGTCACCGCAGGCTGAATGCACAAGCAGAGAATCGAGCTATCTTCAAGAGATTTGTAAAAGGTACAACAATGCCACTCTTCTCAGTAAATTTTTTTTGTTTCAGAAAATATAACTGTGCTTCTTAAAAAAAGATATTTATTGACATGTAATGAGTTTATTATTGTTATTTTATTTCTAAATGCATTAATAAGTTTCTATAAATCTCTCAATTTAATTTCCAATATCAATAGCGAAATACAAACAAATATACTCACACAAACAAACACTGAGGGCCTCAATGGCTTTTAAGATTGCAAAGGAGTCTTAAGACAAACATTTTGGGAACCGTTGAACTATAGCAAATTTCTGGAATTCTCCCAGACAGCTCCAATTTATATTTAGCTTCGACTCTAAGAGATATTATTTACTTATCTCATCCAAGGGTCAAACTGTCTGCCATAAAAAGAACTTGTGAGAGACCTGAAATTAATCTAAAATGCTTCTTTGTGGGCTGTTCCAGGTGATGGCCTTCTGTGGCCACCAAGCCATGTGGCTTGACTGTGCACCATGGCTGTGCTGTGTTCAGACAAAGGGAGAGGCGGTTCAGAACCTACATGAAAAACAGGAAGAGTGTGGACTCTGGGATCAGAGAGCCCTGGGTTCAGATTCTAGCTCCTTTACAGATTCAAAAAGACTCAGGAGAATATCAATCAAATGCAGAGAGACAACTGGGAAAATCTGAATACAGACTGGGTATTAAATAATGTTAGAAATTACTGTTAATTTTGTTAAGTGTAATAATGGCATTGTGGTTATGTTTTTTTAAAAAAGGTTCCTATCAGGCTTATACTGTTAAGATATATTTACAGGTGAAATACTTTATCTGGCCGGTGGTGGGAGGGGGGTGTGGGGGACGGCGGGGTAGAAATAGAAGCTGAAGGATGGGCACACGGAATTCTTATAACTATTTTCCTTTCCAACTCTTTTTTGTATATGTTAAAATTTTGCACTAATTTTTTTTTTTTTTTCAAATCCCAGTTCCATCACACATTAGCTAAGTGGCCTTGGACAAGTCGTTTATAACCTCTTAGAACAGAAAATACTACTCATTCTTGTAGAATGTTATCAGGATCAAAAAAAATGACTTATGTAGAACACTTACCACTGGCTCAAAGTGATCATTTAATAGCTAATGTATATTGAATACTTATGATTCCCAAGTTCCTTATGTACCTTATTTAATCCTCACAACCACCCCTTGATATTGGTACTGTTATCTCTCTTTTCCAGATGAGTAAACTGAGGCATAGGGAAGCTACATAACTTGCTCAAGGTCACAGAGTAAGAGAGGCAGACCCTGTTATCCACTCAGACCTCATGTTCTCACACTGCTGCAGTGTCCCGAGCAGACGTTAACGACCTGGTGGGAGATTTGGGTTCCTCTTTTTTTTTTAAACACTTCATATAAACATAACTGATATAAACGTACTCTGGCAAATGGATGATATATTAGAAAACATCAGGACAATCAAGGTGACTGGCTTAAAGTTTATTTCTACTAGAAAACAAGCCATGTACCTGTTAAGTGCAGATGTTAGCCTGAACCCAGGGTGCTTCTCTTCCTTCCAAGGAGGCTGCTGCCTTTAAAAACCAGAATAACATAAAAAGAAAAAGAAGTTCAATCTACGGGGAGCAAAGGAGAACCTCCGGCCTGGGTTTGAGAACTGGCTCCTCTATTAACCCAGCTGCAAGGCTGACCTCTCCAGTTCCTGTGATTTCTAATTTCCATGATTAAAACTATCACAAATCCATGGGAACAGCAGGAGCAAATGAGATAGCTGGGCACATAACAAGGTTTTTTTGCTTTTTTTTTTTTTGTTATTTTTAAAAGGTCAAACAAGCACCTTTGAATGCTTTTTGAAATGTTTCAAATCTATGACCAGTTCCTCTCTGGGGATGTGAGGTCTTACTCCAGATGTGTGAAAAACTACCCCTTGTCACATACCCCGAGTGCATGGAGTGTGTGTGTGCGGGTGCCTGGCCGGACTGGAAGCAGAAATGCTGCAACCCCACACAGACTCCCATGAAGAGGAATATAACTGTTACAGTAGCCCAGTTTATGAAACTATGAATATGACTAATCCTCCCGCTCTGGAAAGCCTAAGACAATTTTTCTTGAATACAAATTTTTAGAATCTCAATTTGGAGGTATCCTTTTATGATTTAAAATAAAATATTGTGCTTGTCCTACAACTGTGGATCCCAAGATTCTTAAGCACTGCTGAAAAACTACTTGAGGTAGGGGCCAGCTGTCACCCATCTTCATATCGACCTTTTCCAGGTCCTGACTACATTATCCACAGGAAGTGCTGCCAGTGTTTGCCCCGAGAATGGATGGAGAATAGATCTCAACCGAGAGAGCTAAATTTTCTCAATACGTACATTTCAAATGCCTCTTAAATCTGACTAGGTGATCTGAAAATGATACCATGCATCCACCAGATGTAACAATCTTTTCAGTTAATTTTATATTCTGTCACCCTCAGTATTCAAAAACACTCAACTTTTTGGTATATATTCTCTATATACAAAAATACTCAGGGAGACCCTAGGTCAAATCCACTATGCAAATTAGTTTTAGGAGCTTACTAAAGCCTTATGTTTCTTTCAGTAGCTTACCAAGACACATTATATATTCAAATATAAGAATAAAACATCAGAGTAGTATGTTGGTAATTGTATTTCAAATGTGTTTCTATTTGGTCTTTAAAATGAAGATCTAGATTGATTTAAATAACTTAATTTCATACTTTCATATAAATCTATGATTATACATGGAAAGACTTAAGTTTTATAAGAGAAAACAAGAGTCTGTGCTTTAGATTAGAAATTTCTAAAACAACATTCAAGGTGGATACAATAAAGCGAAACCATCCAAAAATAGCACATGCCCCTCCTATCTTTGAAAATAAGGCTTGCTTACCTTGGCCAACTCTCATCCAGGGGCTGCGAGGCGTAATTAGCTCCAAATGTACTACCATCAAAGTAGAATTTTCAATAAAGGAAAAATATAATGAATGGAAAGTTGAAGCAGAACTAAGAGGCTGGAATCATGGGGAGTTCAACAACTTTTTTGGTTCTTATCTTTATCTCTACATCCGACATCTCTTCCTCCATGCTTTGTCTTATCAACTTCCTCTGGAAAAATCTATTCTATCTTCTAACCAGTGCCGTCTTTGCGTGATTCACATGGGGTGTTTCTTTTTTTTTTCTGCCCGCCCAACATCTTTTACTTTCAAGAACTGCTTCCACCCCGATCCGAAACCTGGTAAGGCTGCCATTCTGTGTGGGCCTGCCTGCCCCACAAAATGTACACAGACCCAATATTTCCAGTCAAGGTAACTTTTCCCCCTGTGACTGGTTCAGGGATGGGCTCATGATACAAACAAGGGGGAAAAGGAGTGCCCCCAGCTGAGGTGGTGAGCCCGAGGACCACATGGACCTGGGTTTCTCTCCCTGGAAGTCAATTCAGAGGTAGCACCTCACAGATGCTGAATCTCGATGCTATTGTACAAACTCCTGGATCTAGCCCCTTGGGCTTCTAGCGACATAAGCCAATAAATTTCCTTTTTTCCAAGTTGAGGGTTTCTGTTTCTTATAACTAAAAGAGAGCGGCATTAGGTTTGTGGAGAAATGTGAACTTCCTTGGGTTGTCAGGGGCCCCGTTTTATAATTTCTGTATTATTCACTGGGTCTAGCCTGCCTTAGAACATATTCCAGGTGAAATGGAAATATGGAAAAACAAATGTGATGCTACACTATACATGCTGAGCACAGTAGAGCCGTTTTGGTTAATTTAGTTAATTATACATATAGAATAGCCTTCTTAAAACATTTTAAATCATATTATTCTCCTGCTAAAAAATCTTCAATGATTCTGTATAAAAGAAGGCATCATCAGCTAGGGCTCAGAAGGAAATGAGAACCAACGGAGAAGGACCCTATCCTACAGACAGAATCTGGCATTAGTAAAACATGGGCACTAATGAACTCTTCATGAAATATTTCCTTTGCCAGAAGCATTAAGGTCACAAGGTTCACTTCCTGTGTATTAGTTTTGTCATGTCTAGTTACCTTCTTTCTTAATCTGAATCTTAGTCAAGGCAATAAAACAGAGATATTTTCAAAAGAGAGACCAGACATTTCTTCAACACCAAATATTAGGCTTAATGTATGCAAAGTACAGATGAGAACATACTGCAGAAGGAGACAGAAGAGGAAAAGGTGATAAAGAAACAAGAAGGCTCTCTGAGAGGAAGCACATCAGTATCTCAGTTGGCAGAGCCATTAGGGAGAAGGCATTGAGCCTTTCTCTTTCCTGCAGAGTTTGATGAATCTCTGTCCAGAAAAGATAAATTTCAGAAGCAGAAGTTTACCACTTCCCTCAAGGACACTGCCACCCTTAAAGTCCTTAAGTCCACTTATCTGGAACCTGTAATACAAATTAGAATGCAGTGGTGTAATAGTAGTGCAATGATCAAACATCGATTATTCCAATGTTGAGGTGTAAGTCAGCATTTTAGCCTTTCTGATGTGTATTAACAACATGGAAAGGTAGTAAATTCCTGAAATTTTAATATGAGTAGCTGAGGCATCAAAAGTTAAAAGATGTGACCTATGAGCTCTCCCATTCTCACCATTCACATCTCACTTAATGGATATTCGAAAACCCAACAATTATTGGCACCAAGAGAACCACTAATGTTAGTAACCACTAATGTCAATAGCTTACAGCTAAATTCCACAGAAGAAAACCTACAAAAGGTTCATTTGTTCTTCTGAAGATTTCAGAAAATTTTGTTCAAGTGGCTTTAATTACTCTACAACACTAATATGTCCTAAAGAACATCCTAAAGACAGAAAAAATACCCTTATTTGTAAACTTGAATTTACCACTTAATTCAATAAACATTTCTAGAGTTCTTGCTAGCTGCCAGCAAACAAACAGAACAGCAGCAGAGGTGACAGGGTTTTTAACAAGCCAGATCAGCTCCTCACCCAGTACTACGTTAGTTAAACCTAAGTCAAAAAACAGTCCCACAGGGACTTCCCTGGCGGTCCACTGGTTGAGACTTTGCCTTCTGGCGCAGGGGGTGCAGGTTCGATCCCTGGTTGGGGAGCCGGGATCCCACATACCTCCCGGCCAAGGAGCCAAGGCATGGAATGGAGGCAGTATTGTAGCAAATTCAATGAAGACTTTAAAAATGGTCCACATTAAAAAAAAAAACCAAAAACAAACAATCCCACATTATAATGGGCCTTTTTATTTATCCCCCTGTGCACTCCTCTTCTGCCTTCAACCCTGATGGTCCAGAGTTTCTGTGGCCTCACAGCCTCTCAGCCCACATCTGCTTACATTCCTCTCAAAAGGACAGGATGGGGAGAAGGGTCTCAGTATCATGGGTGCCATGTAGAGCGGGAGCAGGGCGAGAGGCTGGGGACTCCGGGCACAGCCACTTTGGGAAGAGTGTCCTGCCTTCCATGCTCACCTTGGTCGGTCCCACCCATGCCTCTGGCTCCATCCATCATCCATAGTCCAGTAACTCATAAATCCATACCTCCAGCTCCCAACAGTTCTCATGAACTTCAGGCTCAAATTTCCAACTGCCTACTCAGCTTCTCCACCAAAAGTACCTCAAATTCTACCTAAAACCCCACTCATCATCTTGCCTCTCGCCTGCTCGTCTTGTTAGGAGTCCATCATATGTAATGGAGGGTGCCACCCACCCAGGTGCTCCAGGTGGAAATGCCAGGCATCCCGGGCTGCTCTCTCTCCCCAAGTCCCTGCAGTTCTGTAGCGGAGAATCCTTCCCCTCGTGTTCCTGCCTCAGTCCATCGACAAGGGGACTCCTGCTCCTTCTCAGCTCGGGGAGTGTCAGAGGGAAAGTTCTCATGCACTCTTT